TGTTTCTTTGTTACTAATGATGAGGCCCAGAAATCAGGATTTTAACAAGATTCCCAGGTGATTCTAATGTGCAGCCAAGGTTGAGAACCACTGATTTAAAATGTGGCTAGTGTGACTGAGAACCCGAGTTTTTTATTTTAACTAATTTAATTTAGGTTTAAATAGACACGAGTCTAGCTAGCGGCTTCCAAAGTGGGCAGAACAGGTCCAGATTCTCAAAGTACTTGCCACATCTCTGTAGTGAAGATTTCTGCCAGGCAAATTCACATTGAACATTCTGTCCTCCTAGTAACCTGAAAACGTTGTTTACCTAGGATTCTACTTCTCTCCGTTTAGAACTGCTCTCGAAGGCAGGGATTGTGGAGTTTTCTTCCGGTGCTAGCCCTAGCCCTAGCCCTAAGCCCTAAGCCCTAAGCCCTAAGCCCTAAGCCCTAAGCCCTAGCCCTGTGATCAGCAAACTCCGGCTCTCGAGCCACATGAGACTCTGTGGCCCCTTGAGTGTGGCTTTTCCATAAAATACCACGTGCAGGCGCACACGTACAGTGGGATTGTAACTTCGTGGCCCATGCGCAGAAGTCGGTATTTTGTGGAAGAGCCACACTTAAGGGGCCAAAGAGCCACATGTGGTTCGTGAACTGCAGTTTGCCGACCACTGCTAGCCCTAGCCCTAGCCCAAGCCTGAGCCCTAAGTAGAAATAACTGAGTTTCTTAGCATTTGCTGGCTGCTTTTGCTTTAGGTCAGTGGTCGGCAAACTGCGGCTCTTTGGCCCCTTGAGTGTGGCTCTTCCACAAAATACTGACTTCTGCCCATGGGCCATGAAGTTTCAATCGCACTGTACGTGCGCGCCTGTACGTGGTATTTTGTGGTATTTTGTGGAAGAGCCACACTCAAGGGGCCAAAGAGCCGCAGTTTGCCGACCACTGACCTAAAGCAAAAGCAGCCAGCAAATGCTAAGAAACTCAGTTATTTCTACTTAGGGCTCAGGCTTGGGCTAGGGCTAGGGCTAGCAGTGGTCGGCAAACTGCAGTTCACGAACCACATGTGGCTCTTTGGCCCCTTAAGTGTGGCTCTTCCACAAAATACCGACTTCTGCGCATGGGCCACGAAGTTACAATCCCACTGTACGTGTGCGCCTGCACGTGGTATTTTATGGAAAAGCCACACTCAAGGGGCCACAGAGTCTCATGTGGCTCGAGAGCCGGAGTTTGCTGATCACAGGGCTAGGGCTTAGGGCTTAGGGCTTAGGGCTTAGGGCTTAGGGCTTAGGGCTTAGGGCTTAGGGCTTAGGGCTTAGGGCTTAGGGCTTAGGGCTTAGGGCTTAGGGCTTAGGGCTTAGGGCTTAGGGCTTAGGGCTTAGGGCTTAGGGCTTAGGGCTTAGGGCTTAGGGCTTAGGGCTTAGGGCTTAGGGCTTAGGGCTTAGGGCTTAGGGCTTAGGGCTTAGGGCTTAGGGCTTAGGGCTTAGGGCTTAGGGCTTAGGGCTTAGGGCTTAGGGCTTAGGGCTAGGGCTAGGGCTAGGACTTTTTTTAATGTAGATATGTTAATTTATTGTTTACATATTAGGCAGTTTAAGAAAGAATAAAAATCCTGCTCTCTAGAACATGAGAAGACAATGAAAGGTACTGTTATACAAATGGAATATATGAACATAAATGAGCCCAAGCATGTGATTTTCAACCACATTCATATTACAGTTTTAAAATGATCTAAGCTCTTACAATGGCCAATTACTGATTTGAAAACATGGACCTGGTAGAGGATAAATGCTATTTAAATATCAGTTCAAAGACATAAACAATTTTATTATGGTATTTATGTGTGTGGGAAGAAGAGAACTGTTTACTGTATATAACTATCATGTTTCAGGGGACATTATTTAACAGTTAAGTTTTTATATTACAAAACAAGTTTAAGTATTAGTTATTTTAGAAATACCACTGAAAATAGAATGACATTAATTATACTAAAAGAACATAGTAAACTAGTTGGCAAAATTTAGCTACCTTAGAGAAAATCTTAATCTGTTGAGATAGACAATATAGGATCTAGCTTTCTGACAAGCAGAAGGCAACATCTATTATGTGAATATTATAAAAGAGTTTACTGCCATGAATACTTAGGTAACTTAGCCAACTCCTGAACTAAGACCTATGAAGCCACAACAAACAAATACCCCAGGAATAATAAAATCCTCATTTATTATCATAGCTTTATTTCTCTTCTGTTGTTTCAGTCTCCAAATACATCCAGCACAGTGCTGCATTAGGACGGCATATAAAAGCATCAGTTTCATCCCCCAACTCTGTTAACTGTTCCAATGAAGACACACAAGGATAATGGTCTTTTAACATATCGGGCAATTTAGACGTCTTGTCTTGAAGTCCTTACACACTCCATCCCAAATTGTTACCAAGTGATTCCTACTCAGACTA